CAAGATCATGTTGCTAAGAATTGTCTGCCACTCAAATAGTATCAGTTCTTGTGATGGTGGTCCTATGATGCCCTTTCAGATTAATGGATATTGGGTGAGGGGTTCTAATAAATTGTTCAGCAAAACATAGGCTGTAGTCAGTAATTGTAAACCTACAAAGTGCACCAATGTGTTAGGTTCACCTGATAAAATGACCAATGAGTATGAATAATTCATATGGCATTTTTTGTACATTCTCTGTATACAGTATTTACTGTACAAAATAATAGAATGAAAGTGAAAATGCATTTTAAATGTGAAGGATACTGCCCGATTATATTTGCCCTACTGTACAAAGCTGAAAATAAGAGACAAGGTGGTCAGATCATTCTTAAGTGGACGCAGTATTTGGTGGGAAATCAGATATCAATATATTTCTGAATAGAAATGTAAACAAACTCCAATTGAAATGAAATTGATATGGGTTTCATAGACTATTCTGATGCTTATTGAAAAGTGTCCCACTTAACTTGAATCCGCCCTACTGCACAACAGCAGAGATATCCAATCAGTCTCTGTTCAATTACAGGATAACAGCTCCCCCAGAGGCTGAGCAGTGATTGTGCTTCATAGACTAAAGCAGAGCAGACTGAGCCCCTCAGTACTGAGCTGGAAATGAAGCACACAATCAGTCAAGTGTGAAATACTCAAAAGTAATAATGCGTATAGTCACCGGCTTCTCTTTGAAAACAATGTGCTGGTTAATCTGCCTGAACTCAGGGGTCAGTCTGCGCCTTTCAGGAGATGGAGAGGCGCTTTCATCTGAGAGCAGACCGCCCGAATGAGCAAGAGAGGGCGTGCCAGCGGAGATCAATATGGCTAATGAATAAATAGGACTACAAATGGCAACGGAAAGCTTTATGGAAATTAGATTAGGGATGTGCAGGCCAGTGGAAATTGGTCTGACTCGCTCTGAAGCTCAAATATGTTGCTTTTGCTGGGTTTTATTATAAAGAACATGGACAACTTTTTTTAAAATGGATAAAAGATCTTTACTAGCCTAATTTTGTTCAAAGTCTATATCTCTCCTGTATATTTTCTTAGTTTGAATTTATTGTGTTATTAAAAACAGAGACCATTAACTTACAGGCCTGGGTCTGCTGGCACACTCTCAAACTGAACAAGATTTATGTCGAGTCAAATATGTGTGAAAAGTAACACGAAATGTGATCCTAAACTATGTATACAGATAATAAACACTGTATTATTACATACATATATACACAATATATGTTATTGTGTCTCTTTTGAGAAAGTCACAATCTACACAATAAAATGACCTTTGTTTGACCTTAACCTCTGCTTTTTTATGATTGACTGGTTTAATGCTTCAGGGAAAAACCTAATTTACACAGTTGTCCTCTTACCTCAGATGTAGTAGATCAGCCAACATGTTTATTATCCAAATTCTTCTTCTTTAGTTCAGTGCTGGAGCTACGAGGTCAACATTGCAAACAAACAGTACAAGTCAATAGTCACCCAAATATTTTCTGTACATACCTCCTGCATCAAACCGCATCCAGGTCTTCATTATGGTCACATAGATTTGTTGATTTGGTTTAGGATATGGTATGATTTACTGTGAGCTATACAAATGAACTTCACCATGCAGCTGAACGCAGCATGCGGCCATTTTAGACAATAGGTATTGTGCCAAATTCTGACTCTCAGAGGTATATATATATATATATATATATATATATATATATATATATATCATATAGATCATGTTCACACTTTCCGTTGTTTGTTTTTTAAATTGAAGATACATGTTTATAAATGGAAATAACAGAAATTGTGAACAGAATCTAGAATCCACGTCTATTTGACACACATAAAGGCAACTTGGATTCTGTAAGGGCATTTAGCTGCACTGTTTTGTACAAGTTTCGTTCATTTTGATAGTTCACAGTAAGCCGTGCTGTGTCCTAAACCAAATCAACAAGTCTGCATGGCCTTAATGAAGAGCTTGATATGGTTTGAGCATGTTGAGAAAAGTTTTGGAGATGTGTTTATGGCAAAAGATTCAGGTGACTATTGATGTCTAGTGTTAGAAACGTTAGCCTTGTAGCTAAAGAACCAAAATTTGGACACCAAATATGTCTTCCATGACGGACCCATGGTGAACACACCCAAGTTCCCCATATAATATATAACTAAAGGATCTTGATCTGGGCTAAAGGTCTAGTACAGTGTTCTAATCCAATATGCCATGAAAATAATATTTACTTATTTCACATAAGCTGATCACTCACATCTGCACAGATAGACCCCAAGGGGCCGCTTGATCCCTTTGGCCTTTGCCATCAAATTGTACAAATGTCCACTGAGTTGGTGTGTATAATGACTGTGTTTTATACTGCCGCCAACATTCCTCATTTGAGGATAGAGCTTGTGGGTTTGCTTGGATTCTACGAGACTCAATACTCCTGGGCGCCCCCTTTAGTGCAGTACCGCCTGCCTGTGGTTATCCTCGGTAACTATGAGCAAAAGTCAAATCAAAGTCTAGCACAAAATATATGCAAATGTGTCTCTGGTCATGTTTAGGTGACCCTTAGAGGTGGATATACACCGTACACCTCTGTGTACGCACCACTACACTAGTGCTTGGCCCCCATTACCCTATTACAGTTCTAGGGCCCATGCAAACAGTGATCTATGTGGCTTACTACTGTCACTAGACTATAGAACTAGTCTTGTTTTGTTAGCAGTAGAGAAGAGCATCAGTAAACCCAGTGCAAAGGACACCGTGCTGAGAGCCTGATGATTTAATGTCTCAAAAAAAAACAGTAACCTATGCTGACATTGATGTCATGGAGGCCGGTGGCGTACGGAGCCTCAGTCTCTGTCTGTCTGGGTCAGACGCATTGCAGCATGAAGAATGCACAAAGTACGTCCGGTCATATTTTCTCTGGCACAGGTCACTCAAGGGACTCACAGTGAATTAAGAGTGTCCTCGCCAATTAATGCTTGACCAAAAGTGCTGTTTTTAATTAGATGATGAAGGCAAGCGTCAGATGAAGGACAAACGCTTGCTGATGTGCAGCTTGACCCCCGCAGGCGTCTTCCTGTGACTTTGTGGTTGAGCGTAATTCGGTGCCGGTGGGAAAGAGAGGGCCATGACATGGCGAGGGAGACGCAGGGCTGACAATTCTGGATAAATAGAACAGCCTGGATTAATACATTAAGAACAAGAGACAGGCTGGCGCGCACAGGGGGGAGACGCTGTTTGAGGCGTTACAGCTGACCGAGAGACGAGGTTGACTGAGAACTGTTGAGATGGCAGACTTGATGCTGCAGCAGGCTTTTGAGATAAGTGTAGTTTCTCTCCAGTGTTATTTTTGTCACCTACGGTCTGTTGCATAAACTCCTTTTCTTTCACATCTGCTCCTGACATCTATAGCTGAAATGTCATTAACATGTGACGGCTTGTCATTATTTTTAATGTCACAGCCATTAACGCCTCCATTATATTTCAATAGACTGGGCAACCTTTTATAAGTTACACTAAAAAAAAAGAATGAATGACTAGGTCAAACAAACAAACATAGAAATGAGCAGACAGACAGACAGAAAAACAAACAAGGAGCAAACATAAATAAGCCGATTAAATAAATACAGGTAAACAAATAAATGACTGAAGAAACAAATGAGCAAACAATCAAATGAATGAATGAATGAATGAATGAATGAATGAATAAATGGATAACCAGGCCAAAAAACAAATTAATAAACACATAAACAAGCAAACAAAAACAATGATTAAATACCAGGTACATAAACCAATTAAATAAATATAAACACGAAAGAGCAAAAGAGCAAACAAATGAACAAATAAACGAATGCATGCATGAATAAACTTAAAATGTGTATATACACACACACACACACACACACATATATATATATATATATATATATATAGAGAGAGAGAGAGAGAGAGAGAGAGAGAGAGAGACAGAGAGACAGAGAGAGGGAGAGAGAGAGAAATAAAAAAGACAGATGATGGATGAATGAATTAATGAATTAATTAATGAATGAAATAATGGATATCCAGGACAAAACAAACAAACAAACAGTGAGTTAACAAAACACATAAACCAATTAAATAAATAGAAACAAGAAAGAAAGAAAGAAAGAAAGAAAGAAAGAAAGAACAAATAAATAAACAAATGAACAAATATATACATGAATGAATGGATGAGAGAAAATAGATGGATGAATGAATGGACGTAATACTTAAATAAATAGGGAAATAAAAAATAAATAAATTAAAGGGTCGGTGAATGAATGAATGAATGAGTGGCTAAATGAATGAATGAATGAATGAATGAATGAATGAATGAATCAATTAATTAATTAATAACCAGGCCAAACAAAATAAGTTAGGAAACAAACAAACAGTGAGTAAACAAAAAATACACAAAACAATTAAGTAAATATAAACAAGTGAGAAAGAAAGTAAACAAATGAACAAATGAACTAATGCATGCGTGAATGAAATAAATTTTTATATAAAAATAAATGGACAAATAAAAAAGACGGGTAGATGGATGGATGGATGGATGGATGGATGGATGGATGGACTCAATATATAAATAAACTAAAAAATGAATCAATGTATGTCAGGGTGGATTAATGAATGGATAAATGAATGAATACGTGCATAAACAAATAGGGAATAAATAAAGGGTGGCTGCATGAATGAATGAGGCCACGAATCACTGCCTGACTGAACGCGAGCCTCTTTATGCTTTTACGTATTGATAAACAAACCTATCCATTAGTCTCTGTTCTATTGGCTGATTGACGGCGCGACTGGAACCTGCGAGGGAACTTGTTACCGTGATTGGGACGCGCGCGCGCCGCGTGCGTGGCTGAGGTGGCGCGAGCCTGCTGGAGCGGGAGCCGCCTCACCGAGCTCACTGAGTGGCGCGAGAGAAGCGCGCGCCGCAGTGTGCCAGCGAGAGAGACAAGACGACGAGGAGAGGAGCGGAGAGAGGAGCGCAGAGAGGAGCTGACAGAACGGACGAGCTACGTTACCTCGTGCCAGACGGGGGGAAAAGGGTCGCGTAAAAGGCGGGGGGCAGGTGAAGTCACCGCTACATCAGGACCAAAAAAAAAGCAGAAAACAGCGACGCCTCGTCTGAGAGGAACTGAACGGACGACGTGCTGCTCACTGTTAACGGCTGCTCGTCCTGTTCACGCTCAGCGGCAGATCCACTGGATTTCCAGCGCCTTTAGCCCGCCTGCGCCTCTCCATGCTCTCCGTTTGTGACTTTCCACAACCAGACAGTCTGTGAAGGCTGAAAAACACCCTTCCCGCGATTCTGAGCCGCTCTGCTTTCGGTAAGTGAGACTTTTCCCTCCGTTTCGTGCTGTTTGGTGTGTAGTGGTAGTGGAGAAGCTGGTCTATGGGGTCTGTCTATTTCAGGCGGCTGTATGTTTGTGTGCTGTGGTGTTTTAGGGCTGTTTATCCGGGATCTGATTAGGAAACATCGCAGAAGTGTCCGCGTTCGCTTCACCACCACGGCGCAGTGCACTGGGCACATATTTACTGCCTCCAAACGCCCGTCTTGTGTGAGGAAGGTGTTTCTTGCTCGAGTGTGCGGTTGACGCTGTTGTTAACCGAGTAACCTGTGAGGTGAATGTTCCCAGTGTTTTCCAGCGGTAGAAAGTGGAAACTTTAAAGTTGGAACTTGAAGATCAGGCTGTGTGAAACGGACACATTCTCTGCTGAACTCTGACTGAGGGCTTGGTTTTCTTTGACAAGAAAAGAATATGGACGATAACCACAGTCTTCCCAGCCTGTTGGTGTTTTCATGTTGAAGGGGAATCCCACCAATTTTTTCTCCAAATTTATAAATAATTCAGGAGATTCAGAGTCATGCAGATTGGTTTCGTAAGAAATTGTTAACTGTACAGAAACTTACAGGCTCAGATTTCTTTACAGTGGTGGTGATAGGAACCAGGGGTCAGGATGTTAACATAAAGCCATTTTTACCTCAAAACCGCCAGTGAACCTACACGTGTTTTACATGTAATGTTGATAATAGTAAAATAGTCATAAATATGAAAAAAATAGGTTTTCTGAGTATTTTGCCTTACAACTCCCTGCATCAGGAATGGATTAAAATAAATGGGTTAAAATACATTTGAAGACAAAACTTTATCGTAAAACACTGTGGGGGAGCTTTCAGACGTCTGGTTCCGATCACCGCCACTGTGAACAATTCTGACTTTCTCTCGAACAGAGCATCTCACACCAAACCACTCTTGAATGATTTTGTTTACAGCTCAAATATTTAATTATATAGATTTTTTTTTAAAAAAATCAGATCAGTGGTTCCCCTTTAATATCGGTTACCACCCAACCCTAATTAACCTGTGAACTGATGGTCTGATGTCTTACTTTGTTTTGGAGTGGAATAGACTCTTATGGAGATGAGAGATTAGAGGAGACTGCTGTTTAAAATAACAGTACCACAAGGCAATTCATCTTTACAGAGTGAAGTAAGAGGCTTGTTTGTAAACACGGTAAACGTCATGTGACTTATTGCCCTGAATGAGGAGGATATGCCATACAGCTCAAATGAACAAATCATGCTCTAATATTGTCTTTTGTAATGCTGATGTGTGCTTGGCTAGTATTGAATGGATCTCCGCTTGAACATATTTGGGGTGTCTAAGGCAACTTGCAAAGGCGTCTTCTGGAGATTGAATTGAGAATGAATTGATTGGATCAAGTCCGAAGACTTTAGACCAGGCACTGTTTGCTTTTCACTTAAGAGGATGTTGAGCGTGACATTGCAGTTGTCTTTTTCGGGTGGCTGATGCTGCAAGAAAACCTTCTGTCTAAAACATCAACTTTTTAGCAGAGGAGAACAGCGAGATTACCGCTTTGTTGTAATCGTCATGAGACTTAAAGCAGTTTTGGTGCACTGCCTCAGTCCCCGGAGCTATAACACACCTTGAGGGGTGTAGTGGATAGTCAGTTTCAGTCTTTGTTAGAAAAAGAATTCCAGAGTGTCAAAAACCAAGACAGGAGGGTTTCTCGCAACAGCCGTGGCACATTTTTGTACTTCCAACCATGGCAACCGGTTGCCATGCAACAGCAGCGTCCTGAAGATCCTAAGCAAGTTTTAACTGACAGTTACACAAGAGCGTTCCCGTCCTGTCCGTATCGAATTCCATTGCTCTGGCTTTTGAGTAGTTATTATTTGAGTAAAGCCACAAATGGAGACACACCGAAATAGGCCCATGCCAGTATTACATAGTTTTCATGCCCATATCTGCCGAAGCTGATACTAATGGAGAACCGTGTATAAAATCTGTCTGGATTAGGGATACAAACAAATAACATTCAGTAAAATGAATAAAATGCAGACGTTTTAGTGCAGAAGCTCAGTGCCACCTAAACATACTTCTCTTGTCGAGTGTGATAAACACCGGTTTGAAATATCGGACAAATCTAAACATCTGTCTGATGCCAATATTATAGGCTATATTTTACAACTTATATCTAAAACTGCTATTATTCCAATATCATCACGCATCCCTAAGTATTAAGTCTCTTTTTTACCTATTTTGCGTATAGGCATTACACGGGGTATAATGTTGGGTGTGGTTTCAAGTCCAATATGGAAAATTGACTGAATTTAAATGCCATATCCTACATTTTTTTTTCTCTGAGGTCCAATTAAGAGGTTTGCATGTGCCAAAAAACAGGCATACTGTACTTTTATATTAGCATTTTTAACCTCGCTTTATTTCTTTTAAACGGTCTGCTTTTGTTACTGTGCCCTTAATACTGGTATATCTAAATGAGCTCAGTTCTGATTGGCTGCCCTGTATTGTGCCTCACTCAAAAAGCAATCTGGGCTGAAATACTCTTTATAACTTCCGTGTAAATGGGTGGAGCTAAACTGCTGTGAGCTCAATAGGTGGACATCATAAAAACCAACAATTTATTGTTGGTTTTTATGAAAATTCTTGGATTTTTTGGTAATGTTTACATATTACATCAAACTCTTTTATTAAAAAAAATAAAAATGGAGGAAAATCCATTATATGGTTTTTAATTATTTAGCTAGCCTGTTGCATTTCCAGTTTGGACAGTCATATAAACACCTCTATCCGGTGTAGAGTACATAGCCAATTATCTTTTCTTCTGAAAGCAGAACTTGAAACCGAGGTCTGTAACTAATTGATAATTTAGAGAAACAGCTGAAGTTTTGCGAGGACTTGGTGTGTTTCAAGTGAACTGCTGTTTGGAGGATGGGAGGTTCATTAGCTCTGATAGTGAACAGAAAGTTCCAGTGAAACTTCATCTACTATGAGCTTTGTAAAGAAATAGAACATCTTTGGCGATTCTGCTGTAATAACGTTTGGATCACATTTATAAGTATGAGAGGTTTAATATTGGAAAAATTGCTTTATTTCTTCCATTAATTGTATTAACCAACTTTAATATCCAACTCTTTCTCTAGTGGTGTGCTACTGCCATGGTCATGCCCTTGATATACGTAGCTGTGGTGTGAAGTTTGGAGATTCAATTTAACTGTAGATTTGCATTTCCATTTTGATTCAAATTTTACTCTCGTCAGCCAGCCTTGAGTGAAGACATAACGCTGACTGTTCCAGCACGAGACCCTTCATCCCGCCTTCCACAGCCTTTTTGGTTGCGTAAGCCCATGTGTCAGCAAGGTCACAGCCTTTCCATGCCGAGATGTTCATATTGCAAGTCTGAAGCAAAAAGGACTTGCGCTTAATGAATGCCGGGGCTGGGTTCTGAGACTCGTCGTTAACACTTTGGAATGTGGTGATGGCTCCATTTCGTCCATCTGGCCGATGTGCATAGTTACTAAGCAACACCTTTGACATTCTGCCACTGGGTCAGATGTTCATTCAAGAGTATCAGCACCAGAGATGCTCGCTCGCGTGAACCCTCTATGTGAAGCCCAACTTCAAATGAGAGCCTCTTTCCTCCACATGTTTCTTTGCTTTTCGTGCCTGCATTTCAGAGTTCAAAGCAAGGGCATTTACCTTAAAGGAAGTGTAGGCAGAGTCAGCCATCAAAACCTGACAGCAGTGTAAGAGAATTGTAGAACTACAGCAACTACTGCATGTGAGGTGGTTACAAAAAAGTTGAGGTTTATGGTAGTTCGCGAGGCTTTTTTTGTAATGAATGGGTCAGAGGTTTATATTAGGCGGTTTTCTTTCTCCAGTGGTGTGAAAAGTGACGTGAAACATCAAAGGTCTGCCTATTGGACCTAAAGGGCCTGTAACATGCAAATTTTTGTTTGATGCAGTATGTTAATACTGTTAAATTGTTCTTGTAATGTAGGCTAACTAAAACTAAAGCAGATATCCATCTCATCAGTCTACAGCAGTTTAACTCCACCCCTTCAGGTTGAAGATATAAGGAGTGTTCCAGCTCTGCCTGCTTTATGAATGAAGTACAGTGCAGCCAATGAGAGCAGGGGTCATATACATATTGCTGCTGTTGGAACAAAAACTCGTCAGCATATAATTTTTCATTTTTTGATGTAATTTGAAAATGCCTGTTGCTCTTTACATTGTGTGTCAGTTTCATGATGAACGGACCAAAAGAATCGGCCCAAAATTGACTGAAAAAAGTCTGGTTCCATTGATTTACATTAAAAGTAAAGTAGGTTTTTTCCTTTTCCTGTAAAGTTCTCATTTTGGAGATACATCAGTGATATTAGTCTTAAAGACACAGCAACAAAACCAGCTTGTTTAATCTTAAGGGATAAGCAGAGGTTGGAAAATGATTATTTAAGTGAATTGTGATGTTTTGAGCACATAAACCCACATGAAGATCGTAAGTGGAACTCAGGGAAAAAAATAAAATGCAAGAACAATGTAGGATGTTTTTCCAAATCTGGGAACAGCCTGGCAAAGGTCATCTTTAACATGGAAAATGGAGATCAAGTAGATTTATTACTTCTTTTTCTTTTCCCAGGGATCCTGTACTAGCGCTGCAAATTTTGTTAAATAGAGAACTTCTTATTATAAAATTTGGTTATCTAAGGTATGTGTTTGAACATTTCGTCATGTATCATCTTTATAATTAATGATGCCATTAACAGCTGTTGTTTAGTAATATCTTTATTAATGCGGTGTGTGTGTGTGTGTGCGTGTGCGTGTGTGTGCTAATGTGTTTGTAAATAAAGAAAATGCAGTAAAACAAAAATAATGTATGGAGCTCTTGGACTCAGCGTTTGCATTTTTGTTCAGTTTTATCTTGGCGAATGAGGGCAGCTTTGCAAATTGCTTTCTAGTATTTACACCCACTGTCCTCCTCCTTCAGCATGTTTTAATGAAAC